TCTTTTAAAGCCCTAGTTAAAGATAATTTTGTCCCCACTCCCTCCTCCCTTTTAACCCATATTGCAATTTATTTCCCTATCTGTAAGTCATACTTGCCTGAATCTCCCATTTGGGTCCCTCAGCATTGTCATTTTCAGGTGCGGGAGACTGCTAATCCAGCATTCGTGATGTGGCTGAGACCCCTACCGTCCGCTTGCGTAATGTCACACCTCATCGGGATCCTGAGAGGTTTTTGTCGCTGGACAGCCAATAGGAGGTGCCCAAGTCATGCAGGCAGTAGGCAAGTGACACCATTATTTCCGCTATACTGTATGATGGTATGCCATAGACCTGATCCACTAATCTGGAAAGGAATGGTCCCCCACCCCACAATGACACCAGGATTTAGGTCGGAGATGGACGGTCTGGCTACCTGAATGAGTGGAAAAAATATCAGCCTCAAGCTGCAGAAATACCCTAAGCTCAAAGACAGCTTTGAAGAAAAACTCCAGGCAGAATACAAATTAACCCTTGCAGTGGGGTTACCCCCGCACTGCAAGGGTTAATTGCTGTTTTTTCTATAGGGGACCAAATGAAGAAGATATACTCACCTAATCCTTGGTCCTGCGATATAGACCGCTCACCTGTCTCCGCTCCGGTGGTGGAATGACCTTCCGCGTCCTCACGTCTAATACACTGTATTAGACCTGGTGACTCAGTGGTCATCAGACTGCCGGAGAGGAGGGGAGAGAGGCTGCAGGTACCGGTCTAGCAGGCAGGACTGAGGATTGGGTGAATATATCTTTTATTTTAGACCCTAGACCAAAATGAGCAGTTTACCCTTGTAATGTGGGCATAGACCCACTGCAAGGGGTAATTTGTTATTTTGTCCTCCGTTCTTCTTTAAGATCACACCAAGATGGTCTTCAATGAAGGCCACCTAAAGCCAGCAGTCTAATTAGTGGTCCCCTAAAAATGTTTGTTCCAATACCCCAAGAGGAACTTCAGATGTTTTGAAATCTAATTTGTAATGAAAATGGATGGGTCTGTCATAGACATTAAAGTAGTATTTAAGCCACTTTTGTACATATATCTACTGCTAGCAAGATATATGCAAAAACTTTTTAAAAAAAATTAAAAAGTTACGAAATGGGTAAATACTTACCTGTGTCCCTGCCACTCGCTACAGTCTGAAGATCGGAAGCTTCTCGAGCAGCCGTGCAGGATGATGGGGTGGACGCATGCGCAGTAGAAGAGAATGCACGCATCCGGGAGCGTGCACGTCGGACAGACACCGTGAGACACGAGGAGTCTGCGCTGGATCAGAGACCGGCACCAGCGTTGGAGGGATTGCTGAATACAAGTGGAAGGAAGAAGATGATCGGATCAAGAGGCATCATTTAAGCTAAGTCCTTACAGCAGCACTGGGATTGTGATTGTAATGTCACTTTAACATTTTGAAACCTTTAAAGAATAACCTTGAAAGAGGGTCATTCTTCCACAGATATTCTCAAGAAAGGGGCTTGCACTGGCAATATTAATTCTCAAAAACTCTTACAACCATGTTCCCATATACAAGGAATCACAGCAGTATTGCATGGTCCAATTCTCTTTATGGTCTCTAATTTTCATGGCAGAACTTACAGCTAAGATAGAATATTTCTCATCATTTCTTATCTTGAAAATGTTCTCACGGCTGCCAACTCCCTCTTAGGCCTGGTTCACACCTGGGCGTTTTACAGCGCGTCTCTACGCGCTGTAAAACGCTCAGCATGTGAAAACCAATAATTGTCTATGGGCATGGTTCCCACCTGGGCGTATTTCAGTGCGCAGGAAAGCGCTGAAAAATGCCCTACGCCCAAAGAAATACAGGAGCTTCTTTGGGGCGTATTTTCCGCGCGTATCCATTAGGATACAGCCGGATAGCCTTAGTAAACGCGCATTTGTCGCGTGTTTCTTTTACCGCAAATCGTGGTAAAAACGTGCAGCAAACGTGCATATTCCGTTCGCCCAGGTGTGAACCCAGCCTAAGTAAGATATCTAAGTAAGCATCCCTGTCTTACTTGATGCAGATAATGACCTATATCCCATATGTTCCGTGGGTGCAATTTTTTATTTCAGGGGCTGGAACCATAACTCTGGAATTTCAGTTGACTCTAAACTCAAGAGTTAAATCTTAAAAATACATTCAAGTACCTGAACTATTTAAAAAAAATGTATCTTATTTGTGTATCACTCAGCTGTGGATCTTTAAATCATCTCTGTATTCATGCTGACACTGTCCTTCCTTCTGGAGGGTGGATACTTTTTTGTTCTTCATGGGCCCTGTGTGTGTTGTAAAGTAGCCACCTCTCCAAGTTCACTCCTGTGATGGACTACAATCTCACGTTTCGTTTACTAATTTATATTGAGATTGTAGTCCATCGCAGGAGTGAGCTTGGAGTGGTGGCAACTAGGGATGCCCCGATACTTTTCGAGTACCAGTACAGATACTTGGCATTTTCATGAGAACTATCAGGGTTGCAGCGGTTGCAGTAGGGACCGGGCTCTAGTGCTCCACCACTGTCCTGAAATCATCAGTCGATATTGTTTTAGAAAAACTGTCACATGACAATAAACAAAAATGTATCAGTACTCGTACACTTGGGCGAGTATCAGTATCAGTGCATCCCTTTATTTCTATTTATAAAAACAAAATCATACATTAAAACAGTGTTGTACCAATCCCAGGAGCTCCGTGTGCTCCTTACAAATGACATCTGTCTCCTAACTTTTTAATTTTTCTCTAGTCTAGTCTTGGAGCTCAAAAGTATCGGTACTTGTACCAAGTACGTACTTGTTATCAGTGCATCCCTAGTGGCAACTTTACAACACACACAGGGGCCATGGGGGATAAAAGTAGCCACCCTCCAGAAGGAAGGACAGTGTCACCATGAATTCAGAGATGATTTGAGGATCTACAACTGGGTGATACACAAATAAGATACATTTTTGTTTTTAGTTAAGGTACTTCAGTGTATTTTTAAGAATTAAAGGAGAACTATGAGGTGAGTGCTTTTCACTCACCTCATAGTTCTAGCCGACCTGTGACAATGAGACTGTCACAGGTCGGCTTAGTAGATCAGGAGGTAAGCGAACACATACCGGCGTTCGCTCACCTCTTGATCCTGTCATGGCTCTCAGCCGTGACAGGGGAGGGGCTGGATTCCCCGATCCGCCAGCGCTGACTGGCGGAACGGACGGGGAGGGGGCGGGTACAGCTGGCTCTGCCTCTAGATAGGCAGAGCCAGCTGTCACTCACGCAGCTGGGCGGATCCAGACATAATTGTTGGGATCCGCTTCAGCTGCGGCGTCTCAGTATACCGCAAGCAACGGCTCGCGGTATACTGAGCCTAGGGTGACGGGAGGACGCTAGTTTGTGTCCTCCCGTTACCCTAAGGAGAACTATGGGGAAAAGCCCTGACCCCATAGTTCTCCTTTTTAACTCCTGAGTTTAGTGTCACTTTAAGGTTACTCCATGTCCACAGGTCTTTAATCCATTAGCGGGTGGAGATCCATAGAAAATCTGGGCATGAACCTTCACTGGATTATTTCAGTCCTTTCATAATAACCATTGCAAAGTAAGAGAATAGGAACAGCTATCAGAAGTTTTTTGACTTTACATGAAATCCTGACTATGATGAAACTTTTGAAAACTGAAAGCAATCTAGGAAGTTGTCAGGTCACTCAAAATATTTTCAGGAACAAACACATCAAGATTTTGTCAACGAACAGAGCAGCGGTGACACTTAAATGGTTGGGGTGGAAGCAGAAGTCCATTAATACAATCTTTCTCTAAAGGTGTTTTGAGGGCAAAATAAAAATGTACATCAGACCATTTTCTTTAAACATAAGACAAAATGCTGTTTTGCTAAGCAGCTAAGTCATTAACCAAGATGAATGGCCCTAGAATTTAAAAGCTTTCCATGAGATTACCCTGACATAGGCTATCCCTTAAGGGTTTTTTGCTATAAGCGAAGAAACAGGTAACTAGCAGCGTCTTTCTTTCTGAATCTGAGAGACTTATCCAATGATTCTTATGTACACAGCAAGGACTGGGGGAGAGGTTTGAATTAAAGTGACACTAAACTTAGGGGTTAAATCTTAAAAATGCTTTCAAGTACCCTAACTATTAACAGAAAATGTATCTTATTTGTGTATTACTCAGCTGTAGATCCTCAGATCACCTCTAATATCCTGCTAACTCTGTCCTTCCTTCTGGAGGGTGGCTACTTTTGTTTTTCATGGTCCCTGTGTGTGTTGTAAACTAGCCACCGCTGCAAGCATGCTCCTGTGATGGACTACAATCTTAATCTAAATTAGTAAACTAAACCAGAGATTGTAGTGCATCACAGAAGCAAGCTTGGAGCAGTGGCTACTTTACAACACACACAGGGACCATGGGGAAGAAAAGTAGTCACACTCCAGACGGAAGGACAGTTTAAGCATGAATTCAGAGATGATTTGAGGATCTACAGCTGAGTGATACACAAATAAGGTACATTTATGTTAATAGTTAAGGTACTTGAAAGCATTTTTAAGATTTAACCCTTGAGTTTAATATCACTTTAAGCCTTTTCCCTTACCTTCTACTAAAAGTTTTTAAAAGAATTCTAAAGATTTTTCCCAAAAGGTCACAACATTTGTTTTGAGGAGGATGCCAAAGCCATGATATTCCTCCCAGTTTGCCCAAAGAGGTCTTGGTGTGCCCCGTGTAACTGATGGATAATTTGAACTGTACATATGATAAAATAGTGTATAAGCAGAGGAATACAAGGATTATGGGAAACGGAGAGTGGAGGTAGCAGCTGTTGGATATTATTTACAGACCATTATGTTTTAATACCTCCAAACAAAACGAAAAGCTCATCCAATTCATTAGTAAAATTATTCAGAAAAATGTTGCACCTTTTTGTTAACTTTAGAAACTCCACTCAGCTTATGATCATAACTGTTAGGGCGATACATCCTAGCCGGTGACATGAGCTCACCCGAGTTGCAGAGCCCAAGCACCAGCCGATTTTTAGCAGAGCTCCTAATGGTGGGTTTTGCTGCTTGCTGGTACCAGATTGCCATCCACAAGGATGAGCAACGGCAGAAAGGCTCCAACATTGAGACAGTAGTCCATAGTGAGATCAAGGCAGTGGCAAGGCAGGTGGTGGCAGAGAATGGTCAGGTGTTCCAGGTTGGCAACACGCAGTTAGTATGCAAGGCAGAAGACAAAAGCGTAGTCGGGTCCAGGCGGAGCATCAAAAGTGAAAATCACCAGCACTCAACTTAAAAGCGTAAAGTGTTACCGATTTGGTTAACGTATTATGTCACATGCGTCATCAAGCTAACATTTCGGGGCCACGCTGGGTCCCTTCTTCAGGGCGACATAGTGACGTCACTATGTCACCCTGCTTTTAGGTTGAGTGCTGGTGGTTTCCACTTTTGCTGATCCTGCGACACAACACCATCTGTTGTATCACTTTGAGCACCGCGATCAGTAACGGAATAACTCAATATGATGTATGGAGTGCAGGTGACCCGCCACAACATTGCAGAGTGCAGGCAGAGGTCACAGCAGGCAGAGAAAGGTCAGGCTGTCAGCAAACAGCAACAACTTCAGTATTTTAGCTCTGTGCACAAACAGGGAAGCTGGTTTGAAGACACAGCACCAGCCACTTCCAGAGCTGGTGCTTGAATACCCCTCAGCATCACTTCAGGGAGCTGTGGATGGATAGTGCAGCACAGAAATGTCATGATGAAGCAAGGAAGTCTTGTTTAGGTTCCTTGTTTTTTTTATTCTAAATGTAAATTATTGTGACCAAAATGAGAGGTCCTCTTATGGTATCACTGCTTGCCAAAATTACTGAAATTGTGTATATGAAGGAATGTTTTCAGATTTCACGCTGCCCTGGGACATAATTGTTATTTAGCAGGCTCCACCTTTTTTTGGTTGCCAATTTGATATGATTGTTATCATGAAAATCCAAACATGAAGTGTTTTGGAGGAAGAATGCTGTCTGCTTTATATGTGTTAACAAAACGCACTATATGCCACCCGTAGAGGAGAGGAAGAGATGAATGCATGTTAATATAGCTACAGAACATCTTGTGACTCATCTCGGCCATATAGTTTTAGGTAGTTATTCCCAAAGGAGTCGAAGGATTAAGCCAAAGCATCGTCTAATGCTTCGGCCCCCGGAGCCCTTCGGTTCACTCGAACCGAAGTGCTGCTGTATGGGCTGTATTCAGCCCGTACAGCAGCTCGAGGTAGCGAGCAGAATAACCAAGCCGAATGGTGCTCTACGGCTTTCGGCTATTCACTCACTGCCGTTCGGCCCTTATGAGAATAGGGGCGAATGACAGCAAGTGGACTGCCGGAGGTTCGACTCAGCTGATCCAGATGTTGGATCGGCTAAGTCGAACAGCTTCTTCACTTTGCCTCAGCCAAAGCAAGCCGATGTATGGCTCATGTATGACCGAAGCCAGACGATGTACGTCTGATTTTAGTCTATGTACGGCTGAAATCAGCCATACAGGGCCGAAGTGAATAGCTGAATGGCATTCAGGTCGCTTCACTTCGGCTCGGTTATTCACTCGGCTGCCTTCGGCAGCTTAGTGAATAACCCCCTTAGTGTTTGGTAATATTGGATTCCTATTCTGGGGTCAAGGTGGTCAACTCCAGTCTTTAAGGGCAACAAAAGAACAAGGAGAAAAGCTCAATGAAGTACCTTTGGTGGATTGTTCTTAAAAGTCAGGCAGTGAAAGTTGGAATTTATGTGTAGGCTGCAACCATAATATTGAAATTATGATAAATACTTTTTTTGATGATGGTCCTTCACTTAATTTGCGGCCTAACTGTCCTTTTCTGTATGTAATTGCAAACAAGCGTTAAAACTCTTACAGAGAAGAGAACAAAGTATGTGTATATTTGAATGACTCTTGAACCCATCCTCGGTTTAGAATCAAGATATTCACCTTCGGTAAAATGTGTTGTCAATGTTGCATTGGTTATGCCAGATAAATGAAAAGCTGTGAAAAGGCAGCCGTGCTTTGTCACAGCTCTAGTAATGCACCTGTCATATCTGATATAACAACAGCAAGCAGTGCTGAAGAGAAACGGCCTTGTATACGAGAGGATCCAGGTGGCCGTGAGGAAGCGCATTAGAGGATTTTTGTCTGTGATTTTGCTACATAGTGTTATTTTTTATTAGCCTTCCCATCAGTTTAAAAGAATCTATCAACGCATCTCCCAATGCCCACTGCACATATACATTGTCAGTATTGAGCAAGGGCTTGGTTTGGAGTTGAACTAAAAAAAAAAAAAAAAGCTTAAAGTGACATTAAACAATATTTTTAGTTCCCCAGTGCTGCTTTCATGCCCCTTGCTGCGATCATCTTCTTCCTTCCAATCGTTTCTGCCAGTCCCTCCAGCTCTGGTGCCTGTCTCTGATCCACCACAGCTAGCGGTCGATATATGCCAAAAAATAAGAGACTTTAATTATATTTTAAAGTAGTAATAAACTATCAAACTTTTATTCAATAATGAATCCAGATCAAAAAAGTATTCATTGCTCATCAAAGTATTTCTTTACATTTATGCCCAAACACTAAGTTATGTTTCTGAACAGCTGGCTCCAACTCTCACAGCTCAGCTTCCCTGAACTTCCTGTTCAGTACAATATCACAAGGGACAGCATAGTGTCTAGCAACTATCCATCTACTAGCTTAGAGAAGGTAGGAGGAATGAAGTGTCGGGGTTCCACCCTGACTTAACTAGTTTGCAGCATTCTGGCTTGGCTGCCATTTTATCCACCTGTGATTCCTCTTTTGTCTGAGCAGACTGTGGAACGTTGCTCACTACTCACAGGCTCCCTCTTATGGACAAACAGGAGAGCATCATATGGGCGTTTCCTGTCTCTGAGTGATGATGTCACCCTACTCACTATATAAACCACTCAGTCCAGTCTGTCCTTGCGTGGTCTTACCTGATAGTGCATTCCTGCTGCTCTGTGTATCCTTATTCCGTGTATGACCCGATCCTGGCTGACATTCTCCTCTGGTTCCTGTTCCTGGCTTGTTCCTGTTTATGATTTTTGCTTCCTCCTGTGGACACTTTTTTCTTAATAAAATATTTTTAACTAGCACCTTATGCTTGTCTGATTTTAAATGTGCTCTGACAGGAAGTGGCTTGCCTTGCTGGGCCTGTGTGGAGACATACGCAGCCTACTATCACACACAAGGGTGGCTCCGAAGGACCCTGTAAGGGAAGGAAGCCACCCTAATACACAATATCAGAGCCAGTGCTGTGGAGACCAGCTGATTCTGCAGGAAACAAACTTCATCAAATAGCAGACTTTAATGTAAGTGATTTGGGTTGGATTCACACCAAATGCATTTGGACTGCGCTGGCCGTCTTTTTTTTCCAGTTCAGCCCCAAAGCAAGACAAGGCAATTTGCCTTGTTTTGAATGGGCTCAGTTCACACCACTGTTACAGTACTTTTTTTTTTTTTTAGAGCTGCAACAATTATTCAAATAAGTCGATTAAAATCGACGATGGAAAACGTTGTCAACACTTAAGGGGGACCTGTTTTAATGTTTTCTGTTTAAAAAAAAAAAAAAAGCGGCACACTGCAGAACACCAGCAGCTATAGAGGAACAACAAATCCCAGCAATAATACATTAAACATCTTGTATAATGTATTATTGCTGGGATTTGTAGTTCCTCTATAACTGGTCAGTGGTATTCTGCATTGCGCCGTATAATCATCTACAGCGCAATGGGGAATACCACCAGCTATAGAGGACTACAAATCCCAGCAATAATACATTATATACAACACAATGCAGAATACCAGCAGTTACAGAGGACTACAAATCCCAGCAATAGTACATTATAGTATAAAGGACTATTGCTGGCATTTGTTGTATTCCTATATAGCTGCTGGTATTCTGCATTGCGCCGTATAATCATTATACAGTGCAATGCAGAATGGCACCAGCTAGAGAAGGCTACAAATCCCAGCAATAGTACACTATAGTGTACTATTGCTTCGATTTGTTGTATTCCTCTAAAGCTGCTGGTATTCTGCATTGTGCCTCTGTATAATGTACTATATTGCACACCACACGTTTTTTTACTTCCACCGCTCCAAGCTTGCTCCCGTGATGGACTACAATCTCAATACAAACTAGTAGTCCATCACTGGAGCCTTTTTTTAAGTCCGATTAATCGAACTTAATAATCAGCCAACTAATCGATTTTTGAAAATACTCGTTAGCTGCAGCCCTATTTTTTTTATAGTGCAGCTGGCTGTGACAGGGTACAACTGCATCGCACCTGTACAGCTTAATGTAAATGTGCCGGAATGAGCGCATCGGCACTGTGACTGCTGATGTGAATGCAGCCTTAACCCCTTTGTGACTGACACAGTGTACGTCGCCAGCATCGGGGCTGTTTAAACAGACTCCCGGCGGCTATTGCCGCTGGGACTCTATTTAAACTTGTAAAGCTGACTGTCGGCTTTACAATAGAAGCTATTCTGGCGACTTACCTGTCGCCAGATCGCTTCTGTGTCCGGAAGAAGGGCCCCCCCCCTACGGGCCTGGGACCGGTGTCCGCGGGGAGCTGGGGAGGAGGTCGACGAACTTCCGTTCATCGATTCCCCTCCCCGTTCTATGGGACCGGGAGCGATGTAGATTGCATGACTTCCGGTCCCTGGGCTGTCAGTTCTGGGCTCCTGCAGCCCAGCTATAAGCTGTTGAAGTGCGATCTGCACTTCAATAGCTTATTTCTAGTGTAAAGGTGACACTGGGTGTCTTTTGGACCCCCAGCATCACCTTAAAGAGTACCTGGTCACCACCATCTGCTATCACATGGGGGGGCTTGTAAGCCCCCCTATGTGATAGCAGTCAAAGTAAAAATAAAAAAAACAGTTTTTTTAAAATAAATCTAATAATAATTTTTAAAAAATGTTTAAAGTCCCCCGCCCCCGCGAGCACGCGCGTCGCCACATAAACGCGCGTCGGGTGCGCCTACGTATGAAAACAACGAACGCACTACACATGTTGGGTATCGCCGCGCACGCCTGAGTGAGAGCAATAATTCTAGGGCCAGTATTTTGGGGTTTCTCTAAATTGAATTAAAAAAATGGGTATTTTATTGTGTTCTGGGGCATTTAATTAAATGTGTCACTAAATTTTGGGGTTTAATAAGGAGTTGCGCTAATATTGCGCTACATAAAATTTGCAACTACCATTTTATTC